TTTTAGAGTGTGTTGCCTGAATCTGTTGGCATTCTATACATGGCAAGAAAACCCGTGAGCTTCTGCCAGTGTCATCAAATTAAGATCAATTTCCAACTTCACTTCTAAGTGCTATTTTAGAAGATGCTTGATCCCACTGAAACCACACTGATGGAAAGAGTAGGCAAAGTGACAGATGTAAAACTTATTGTTCTCCCTTCTTCCTCCTCTTTTGAGCTGCAATTTACCACTCAGCTAATAAATAGATGTGAGTTAAAATTAAAAACTGATGTTCATGTGCTTATCGATCCCACCCCCATCCTGTAACAGCTGCAGAATTTCCTCCTCCACTCTGCCATGTTCTTGCTGGGGTTTTTAGAGCTGCACAGTTTTTGTACATACTGTGGGTATAAGGAGGCAAATAATTAACAACTGGGGCTATGGCAAAATCTGAAAAGTGCAACCAGCAGGTCCCCCCTAAGGTGAGGGATTGGCTCAGACACCTGCCAGGACTGGAAACACCAGAGCAGAGAACAGGAGCTCCTCTAAAAATGGTATGTTCTTTCCTTACAAACAACAGATCTTTGATTTAGTGCCATCAGGATTATGGTTGTGTAATCCTCACTTGTGTTCATGTGGCTCCAAGATGCTAAATACCATTTAAATGAAATGGTTTTAAGGGAATTCAGGAGAACAACAAAGGAAAGAACCCCAGTTTTACCATTAACCACCTGAAGCAGACAGTTTCAGCCACAAACCTCCACTTACACCTCATGTTTCACACAATCCCTGTCCTTCTCCAACAGCCTCCTGCTGAACACACCTGTCCAGAGGGATAGGGACATGTTTCAGGTTCCCCCTCAACTGTGAGGGAAAAGGACACTCTCTCCAAGTCTGCCTGCTGTGGGACATGCCCAAACCATGGGCTATCACTTGTTTGGACAGCAGAGGCTGCCTTGCTGATGGGTGTCACCCCCAGCACTGATGAGGCTCCTTTTTCAGAAGAACATCTTTGAGCCCAGGTTTATCCCATGGCAGCCTGCATCTTTGCAGAGTTGGCTGCTTGGGTGCCTCCCAGTGAGGGTGGTCTGAGCTCCAAAGCAAAGGTTCAGCTCTCCAGGCTGCAGAGCAGAGCTGTCTGCATGAGCACACCCACCAGGACAGCTCAGCCCCCAGGAATGCCCTGCACCTCCCAGCTACAGGACACACAAACACCCTCCGTGATCCTTCTGAAGGTGGGCACAGCACAGCAGTGGCTACAGGATTTCAAAGCCAGCCTAAGGCAAAGGGAAAGAGCTTGTTTGTAGCTCAAAGCAGCAAGATTTGGTGTTCTTTGCTTTCAAAGCCTGACCAAAATCTCTGCATTTACACAGAGATCAAGTCCCCAGCTCTTCATCATCCCAACTGAGCAAGTCAGATCACAAACAGCTCTCTGAATTTCATGTGCCTGGTTGCTTGACACCTGTTTCCAGAGGCAAGCCAGAATATTCTTGCTGCTGTCTGGTAACTACGCTGATTCTCAAATATAAAAAACTGCTGGCTCAAAGTACACCCCACTTAAGGGGTGCACATCAGCACCCTGGCAATCAGCGCTGCACTTCACTCACGTTGCACAAGGCTCTTCCAATGCACGTTCTTCAATCACAGGTGCCTCAGGCAATCAAATAGAGATCTCCCAAATGACTCTCCTAAAATCAGACACCTGAATAACATGTATTAAAGCTGAGCTTGTCCCCTACACCAGCAACACCACTCTGACCCTTTAAAATCAAAAGGAAATAAATGCATCCAAGGCAATCTCTGCTGGAGACTCCTCATCCCAGAGCACTGGAACAGCAGCCAGGGCTGTAAGACCACATTGCTTAAGTGCTGTCCTCTGTCCTTCCTAAGCCCAGACCTCATTCCTGATGACAACCACAAACATTCCACACAGAAGGCAAGAGTGAACATCATAAAAACATCTGTGTGATCAAATGCTTCTTCTGAACCCTCATGGCAGGGGAATACCACAACCTAACATCATCTGCAACATGTCAGGATAGTAAATGACTGCTCAGATGACAGGAATCCCTGTGGTGAATCGAGCTTATGCCAGATGTGAGTCTAGAGGCTCACTGGTACAACTGCTGACTGTGAATAAAGATTTGGCATTGCTCTGTGGGCTCATTACCCAAGATCTCTTCCCCCAGCTCAGCCTGGGTGACTGGAGATCTTTAATGGAAGCCAGGTTACATCTCATGGCTGCTCATTGACAGCAGCTGGTATTTTTCAGCACAGCTCTCCTCTCCACGCTCATTATAAACAACAGAGAACAGCCACAGACCTACAGAAAAGGCTCCCCAGTTATTTGAGGACAGACTTTGAGACCTAAAAATGCATTTCAATGTACACTGACATTACCAAGGAATTCCCATACAGCTAAGACGCCTGTCTGCCACTCAACAGGGCAGCAGGAAGCATAAATCACAAAGCCACTAGGTCAACTCTTACACCTCACATTCCCACTGACTACTTATGGGGCCAGACTTCTGCCCAGCAGAAGGAACTCATTAAACACATTTTCAAATACTGCAGAGAAAGAAGTGTAGTGTTCTGCCTGTAGAAAAGGTCCGCATCCTTCCTGAAAAAATATAAGCTAGCTGCTAGAAAATAGTGAAGTACTACAGCCAGAGTAATGACTACTTAATTTTCAGCTTTTTCTACCAGAAGACTGGTGATCACAGAATGGTTTGGGTCAGAAGGTACCTTAAAGATCATCTTGTTCCACCCCTTGCCACGGGCAGGGACACCTCTCACTATCCCAGGCTGCTCAGAGCCACATCCAACCTCTTCTAGAACACTTCCAGAGATCCAGGGGCAGCCACAGTTCTCTGCACAACCTGTTGAAGTGCCTCACCACACTCATAAATCACTCTAATTACTGCCCATAAACAAGAAAGTTAATTTTGCTTGAAGCAGTAAAATGAAAATTCATGCAAAGTCTCAGTAAATAACTCGGGGAGATTAAAGCTCTTCTCAAGAGATTTCTGTGACCGCATTTCCAGCGCTGTTCAAATCCAGACAATTGGTAACATAAAGCAAAAAAACCTTCCCACCCTCCCAACACTGTTGTACGTGGGATAATCTTTAGAGGGCTCTAATTGAGGCTCTTTTCAATCACCCCGTCCACAGATTTTATTTTTTTTTTAGCAGATTAAGCCAAAAATAAAAATATCTTTCAATTACAGCATTGCAAGCTAAAACCACTGAGACACCTCCCTCCCCCCCAACAGCAAAGAGCTATCTAAAAGCTTCCTTTCTAATCTGGGGTTTTTTTGCCACATTTTTTTAACAATCTTTTGCAGTGAGGTGGTTTGGGGTGGTGTAGTTGCTCTCTTCTGCCTTTGGGGAAGAGCTGACAGCAAGGAACAGCAGGAAGGCTTTTCTTCACTGGAGCTGTGAGTGATTAACTCCCCAGTTTTGTCAGGGGAATGACAGCAGCGCTGAAGACACCGAGTGCAGTGCTCAGTGTCACAGGCACAGGACACAGCTCTGCGCCAGCAAAACATCTCCCAGCTCCAGGGGTTTGCCAGGAACACAGCTCTGTCAGGCACAAACAAATGCACTGTGGATAAAGAACCCCTGTGCTGGTAGCAGGGAGGATCTTTATCTTCACTAGGTCTTTTTAAATCCAAAAGGCAATCAGTCTTAATTCAAATTTTGAAAGGTAATTACTGAGCAAATACAACCCAGCACAAAGCTGTGACAAGAATGCCTTGTACAGTTGCAGCAGGCACAGCAGTTCCACCCAAATATTACTCCTCTCCATAAGATTTTCCCCCAAATTAAAAATTTAAAGAGTGGAATAGTGCTGCTGCATCTCACAGCACACTTCAGCCAGCCTGGGCAGCAAAGTCACAGTGGCTGAAAAAATAAAAAAAAAAAGCAACAAAAAGCCAAACCCACACTGCATAAACTCCATCCAGGTGATGGAAACACAACAGCAGCAGAGGAGAGGTCCTGAAGAGATCGCTGTAAGCAGCAGCCATGAGGATTTCCTCTGCTCTCCCCACCTGGCATGACCTGAAAGCCAAAATGTGAGCTGCTCCTCACAAATCCCTGCACCACAGACCAGGCTGCTCCTGCTTTTCATCTCCGCTTTACACCTCATGGAAAACCACAGCTGAGTGTAACACCTGCACAGCAAACAGTCACAGCTTATCCGGTGTGGTGTCACTCTCAATTTTGCTTCTAAAAAAAGGAAAATCCCATTTGTTAATGGAGTAGCAGGTGTTTTGTAACAAACAGCCTCCAAAAATAGGTGCTGGGTAAGGCATAGTTACAGGTACCTCTGCTGATTCCCAAAGAATGAGCTGCGCTAGAGAATGTGGGATCTCTCAGCTGAACCTAAGGAGTCCTTCTGTCAATACCTTTAACTAAAAAAAAAATTCTAGTTTGAACTTTTCTACTGCAGAGGGAAAAAAAAAAAACCAAGAAAAAAGAAAGAGAAGGGCAAGCAAATAAACCCACAAGTGCAACATTTCAAGGGTACAAGTGATTCTTACATGTTTGGCACTATTTACATTTTTTCCCCTAGATTGTAATCCTTCTCAGGACATTACTTACAAAGTTTACATCAGCACCCAACCACAAACAGGGAAGCTTTTTCCATGAGCTCTAGCAGGCAACTTTCCCACAACTTATTAAATCCTCCCTTTTACACAGGAAAGCGCCGGGTAGAGATGAGAAATTATCGGCGATTTTTAATTAGGAACGTCCACCGGCGTACCTGGTCCTTCAAAGGGCAAACCCAGCCCCTTGCCTTCTGCTCTGCAGGCACACACAACACACCTGAGGGGACGCGTTTATCAGGGTTTGAGAGGAGATGCTGAGACCCCGCTCCCAGGACCTCCGGAGCGTCCCCGCCTTCCCAGCCCGGGACGCGCTTCTCCCTCCCCGGCTGCCCGCAGAGAGGCGAAGGTGACATTGCCCCTCCGGGGGTCCCGTGGCCGGCGCCCCCCGCCCCGCTCCGCCCGGCTCACCTCGCTCATGTCGCGACAGTGACAGTGGCAGCGGCCCCGCCGGCGCTCAGCTCCCGCCGCCTCGCGACGCCCGTTAAGAAGCGGCGCCGCGCGCCCGGCCCGGCCCGCGCCAGCCAATCAGAGCGGCGCGCGCGCGGGCCCCACCCAATCCCAGCGCTCCCCTCATCCCGAGAGCGCGCGGCGCCCCCTGGCGGCTCTCACGGCCCTCAACGGCCCTCACGGCCGGGAGCGCTTCCCGCGTCCTTCTCCTCATCATCCTCCTCCTCTATTTCCTTTCCTTCCTCCTTTCCTTCCTCCTTTTCTTCCTCCTTTCCCTCCTCTTCCTCCTCCTCCCCTTTCCCCACGCACTTTCTCCGAGTGCCCGGCACCACGCGCGCCACATTAGGGCGGCTTCGGGCATCCCCACGGGAGAGACGGGCTCCAGATGTGCTGGAGGCAGCCTGGGAATGGGGAATTACTGTGGCAGATCGGATGAATGAGTTAAATGAGGAACATTTTTATTTATTATTTTTTTTTTACTGTGAGGGTGATGAGGCACTGGAACAGGTTGGCTGTGGATGCCTCAAGCCTGGCAGTGTTCAAAGCCAGGTTGGAGCCCTGAGCAGCCTGGAGTGGTGGAAGGTGTCCCATGGCAGAGGAGTTGGGGAAAAAATTATCTTTAAGGTCCTTTCCTAATCCCTTAACATTCTGCGATCCTATAAACCAGGCAGAGAATCACTGCTCTGCTCACCCCTGGCTTTCCTCTCTGTCTCATCAGTCTTGCTGCCATTCCTGTTAAAACATACAGCATTTCTTCCACAGATACATGGAAAACAGCACTTTCTATCATTTCTCTGGTTAATTAAAGCAGGACTTTGGGATGTGTGCTGTTGTGCTCCAGCATCTGTCTTTTGATGGAGCACAATCGCTACGTTTGGCACTACATAGATGCTCTGACTCACATATCTGTGAAGAAATATATGTTCAATTAGTTCCAGGAACACACTTAACTCCCTCAAATTTTTCTCAAATCAATAAAAAAGTTAAAATATTATATTGGAGAGCCCAAGAAGCTTGACAAGCCCTCCCACTTCCAGGGACTATCTTGCAGCAGCCTCTTCACCAACATCTGTCTTCAGGGCCAGTATTAACAGAGACAGGGAAATAAATTTGATGAGAAACAGCGTTTTCCTTGGAGGTGGAGAGGCAGGAGGGGCTGGGATCCTTCACCTGAGGATGAGGAGGCTCCTTGGGCAATGGAACAAGGGGTGTGTATCCTGGGAATATTTTAGGGAGGCTGGCCAAATATGCAGGGATGGGATCAAGAAAGCTGAAGCAGATTTGGAGCTGAATTTGGCAAGGGATGTGAAAAACCGTAAGGACTTCTACAAGTGTGTTGGCCAGAAAAGGAGGAGGAAAGAAATTTACCCTCCTGGGAAGCAAAATAGGAAATCTGAGGTACTGAACACAATTTTTGCCTCTTTCATTATACCACTATTCCCAGGACTTCCACCTGCATGTGGCATTTTTTAAAATTTACATGAATTATCCCAGTTTTTGTTGTGAGTGACCCAAGCTAGGAACAAACATGGTAAGAGTTCATTGCGTGAACAGCTTCAGGAGCTGCCCTGTGAGGAGCCTAAATAAAGATGATGAAGTTTAGCCCCTGAAGAAGCTGTGTTTCATGTGAGACCATTTTCCAGTGAAGAGCAATTGTGGGTGTATTGCATTAGTATTCCTGTTCTGACAGGAGTGCCACTGGTCTGTCAGCTTATGGATACAAAGCACAATGCTAACATAAATTATTAAGAGTATTGCTGATCAAAGGGCTCCCAATCACATGGGAAGAGACACAGACCGCTGAGAGGGAATCTGTTCAGGTCCCTTTGACTCTGAGGAATAACTTCAGTCTCACTCTTCACCATCAGAATAAATGTGTCAAATGCAAGCAGAAAATCTCCTGGTGATAAGTCAGGCTGTGTGCCCCAAGAAGCAGGTTAGCAGAGAAGGCTCTTTGCACTAAATGCTGCAGGAGAACATACAAAGCTCTTATTTTCTTACCTGTTTGGAGGAGTTCACAGCTTCCAGGACAGGCACTCTGGAGGGCACGCTGAGCTGTGTCTTGGAGGTGGCACTCAGGAAACAAAATACCAAGCCTGGTGTCTCTTTTAGGGGAACAATGCTGATGGTGGTGACAGTGCTGTCCATGCAGTGCCTCTACTCTGAGGACAGCTTGCACATTTTGTGACATGCAGTCACAGTATGAGATGCATTATCTGCCCTCAGACAGGTTCCAGAGTGAGCACAGAACTCCCCTCTCCCAGAAAAAGCCTTGGACCTGCAGAGATGCAGCTGTTTTCTCTCTCCTAAATCTTGTTCCCTGCCTCCCAGCTTTGCATGTCATACCCTGCAGAAAATCTCCATAGCCAGGCAAAGCAACCCAGATATGAACTTTGGGCTGAAATGCTCTGGGCCTCTCGTACTTCTCTCTCTGCTGAACTTAATTGTTCTTCAATTCACAAACACAGACACACAGACGCCTCCAAATCTTGGGTCTAACCATCTTAAATGGACAAATCCCGAGTTCTGGAAATGCAGCAGCAACTTGAGCTTTCCAAAATGTTCTTACAATAAAGGTAACTCTGGTAGTTGTTTTATTTATACCCTGTCATTTATGCTGTCTGATGGCTCCACATTTTAGTTTTGAGGTACCCCTTTTCCTGTCAGCCTTTCTAACCCATGGCAATCCCTCAATTGAAAGGTGTCCCAAAGTTCTGCTTTTACTTAAATGCACAGCTAAGTAGTAGCACTTCTAAGTAGAGAAAATATTCTATGCAATCTATTTTCAAGAGCCATTATATTCTGAAAATTGACTATTAAAATACCACCTTCTTATTCATCAAGTCTGCACTCAGTGTATGTTCAATCTTGTCTGCTGGCATATGACTGCAATTTTACTGCCTTTTACTCCCACTTACCTGAAAGATACAGCAGAGAGAAGAGAATCTGAGCTGGGTGTTGGAACAGAAAGGCTCTCAGGCTTCCAAGATGCTTCACCTGCTTAAGGGGACTGAAGATGACTCTTCTGTGCCAGACTGAGCAATCCATAATTGGAGAAGCGTGTGCTAAAATCATGGAATGATTTTGGTAAGAAGATCATCTTGTTCCAAATCCCTGCCACAGACAGAGAATCTTCCACTAGATCAGCTTGCTCAGAGCCCCATAGAGCTTTCAATTCCAGAGGTGGGGAGTCCACAACCTCTTGGGCAACTTGTGCCCAGACCTCACCACCCTCGCAGGAAAGAATTTCTTCCCAATATCCCATCCATCCCTGCCCTCTGCCAGTTTGACTTCATTTCCCCTTCTCCTGTCACTACATGTGAAAAATCCATCTCCAGCTCTCTCAGAGCCCCTTTAGGCCCTGGAAAGAGGCTCTACAGTCTTTTCTTCAGGCTGAACAGCCCCAGCTTTCTCAGCTTTTCCTCACAGGACAGGTGCCCCTCTGGTGCTGTATTTATATAAGGGGAGAGCTAATTGTGTGCTCAGTCTTTGTCACTGACAGCAACACACAACTGCACAGTCTTGCTTTGCTTTCAATCCCACCACTGAAGGTGTCTGCAGAGTGAAGTGGTTTGATCAGAAGCACAGAATTGCTCTGGAAGAGAGAGAATCCCAGGATCCTTTAGCTGGAAAAGCCCTCCCAGCCCACGGAGTCCCAGCTGTGCCCGATGCCCACCTTGTCCCCAGCCCAGAGCCCTGAGTGCCACGTCCAGCCCTTCCTTGGGCACCTCCAGGGATGGGCACTGCAAAGCTCCCTGGGCAGCCCCTGCCAAGGCCTGAGCTCCCTTTCCATGGGCAAATTCCTGCTGCTGTCCACCCTGAGCCTCCCCTGGCCCAGCCTGAGGCCATTTCCTCTTATCCTGTCACTTGTCACCTGACTGTCACCGGGCTCCAAACTCCTTTCAGGAGGTACCACAGAGGGCTGGGGAAGGTATCTCCTCAGGCTGCTGTATTTTTTAGCCAAAATTTGATTCAAATCAAATCCAAAAAGATCAAAAAGAAAACATGGCTCTGCCTTGAACAGCATTCCACATTCCATCAGAGCAGAAATGCTCTGTTTGGTAGAATATATTTGAATTTTGACTCTGACTGCAAAAACTGAAGTTTCCCAGCACTTGAAATGGGTACAGTGAACTGAAACCTCTGCCTCTTGCTGGTTTTACACTCTATGAATTTTTAAAGAGAAGGAACGATTTCACACAAACTTTCTACAAAAGAAAAAAGTCCATGTTGAAGCTGAAATCAAAGATGTTGATTTCAAATGGAAAGCTTTTGTTTCAGAAAGATGTGTGCCTTTGAATCTTAGAAAACAGGAGAGGATCTGAACACAACCTTAATCACAGAGAATATGCTGTGATTATAGGCTTTGGTAGCAATAGATTTAACAAGCATAGCCTCAGATGCTGGATGATGGATGACTGGTCATCTCAGACATATCAGCTAATTTGCCCAAGTAAAAAATCTAAAGAGACAGTTTCCACAGCTGAACTCCCATTAGTATGCCTTCTTACCTTTTAATTAAGGAGCTAATGGCTGTGGGTAGTTAATCAACAAAATACCTTTAAAGATCTAGGCCTGAGGGCCTTTGTTACAACCTAACCTTTGTTCCCATGCAAGAGGAATGAGTCAATGGCTCCAACAAAATCTTATCGCTGTCGTTGTCACAAAGATATCAAATATAATTTGAAAAATTGAGTCTTTTCTCAGGAGAGTTACAAGACATGACTTACTGTACAGTGTGAGTCACCTTCCATCTGAAAAAAATACAGCCCAAAACCAATCACCCAAATATATGTGTCAATTCTTCTGCCTGGCCAAGGAGTTTTGATGGATTTAGTTTGGAGCTGTGTCCTTAACTTGGGCGTAAAGAAAGCCACTCTCAATTTAAGCCAAACTCCCTAAACTTTTGAAAGCTTGAAGAATGTTCTGGGGTTTGAGTCCTTGACTGGCTCAACTCTGCAGAAGCCAGGGGATGTGAAGATGTGGAGCATTCAGATGTTACCTGGCGCTTACCTGTGGCAGTTCC